GGCAGGCAGGCAGGCAGGCAGAAATATGCCAGAAGGCTTGTCTCAGTGTTCCTCCATTAACTTGTTTTTTCTGTTGTGGCCTACATTAACAGTACAGCCACAGCATCAAAATGAATGGCCGCCAGTACTGACCCCCACCCACCACCCGCCATGTAGAATGAATGGTTCAGAGAACCGACAGTGATAAATAGACACATGTGCAACTCTTGGTATCTTTAATGAGGAAACGTTTCACCACGCAGTGGCTTCATCAGTCCATACGTAGGAGAAACTTGAAGAACAGGAGGAGAATGAGGTAATCAGTCCCTCAACCCCCCGGCATCCCCACACCCCCCAAATAAAAGGTTCACATTAAAGTGCATAATGATGTAACTAAGTAAAGTAGGTAAATAACATACTAATTTGAGCAGAGCTATAAATAAATACAAATCTCAGAATTACTTGGTGTAAATTACCGAGGATAACCGAAATAGTTATTGTGACTTATTTTCATTCTAAGTTGATTCAGCTCACTTTAAAGTTTATTAAGTTAACTTTATTTCCTTTTTATGTCTTATTGTTACAAGTGATTCTCACACAACACAATTACTTAGGTGGCGGATCTAAGTTTAATGAAGGTATTATATTTAGAAATTCTTGAATTATTACAAGGACACAAAATGCAGAGGAGTTATTAAGGTTATTTGACTCGGGTAGGTTATCCTAAGTAATATACACTATGTATGGTAATTGTAGCTGTGTGTACATATTAGGTAAAAGGACACACATGCATCAAGGTAATATACATAAATACTCTTTATCATAACATACATGAATAATACATAATACATATCCATACATACATAAAAACATAACATACATACATACATACATACATACATACATAAATATGTCCCCCCTTATATCTATTGTTTGTAACGGCTTAACAAACCTCTTTGTCACGTGTTTAGCATGAGATATTTGATTTGAACAACGTTTTTTGCCTCCCTCCCAGCCAGCCGGCCTCTCAGCCGGCCTCCCAGCCGGCTCCAGCCTGACTCGGAGCCTGTCTCCCATCCCAGCCTGCTTGCTTGGCCGGCCCAGAAAAATATTAATAATAATAATAATAATAATAATAATAATAATAATAATAATATATAATAATAATAATAATGACCATGTGACTATGTGAATTTGGTAAATAGATGTATATGTGGTAAATAGATGTAAATTACCTACCTAGGATAACCCAAGAAATTAATTACAAATATATATTTCTTTTTCCCAAACAAATTGTAGAATTGTTTATTTGTCACGTTGCATTTATTAAAGTGATTAAGTTAGTAATTAAGTAAATAAGTAAGTAAGTAACTGAAGTAATTGTGTGTACTTGTATGTACCACAACATTTATAAGAAATTAATATGTGATACAGCATAGCTTATGTGTTTTTGCTAAATATATATGTGCACTAAAATAAACTTCATTACTTACTTACTTAATTAATTACTTACTTACTTAATTACTTAATTACTTACTTACTTACTTGGAAACTTTGGTGTGTGTTAGATACTTCTTGCCTAAAAACGTGGCTTATAAAGAGTATTTGCACAAGGTACTGTGTCAACGGCCATACCACGTTGAACACACCGCTTCTCGTCCGATCAGCGAAGTTAAGCAACGTTGGGTTTGGTTAGTACTTGGATGGGTGACCGCCTGGGAACACCAAATGCTGTTGGCATTAAACCTTTTTTTTGCTTTTTTTTACAAGTCATAGCCAATTTAAAATCGATAGGAGACTTTTCACAGAATTATTGTTAGCAAACCTAATCACTTTGAGTTTATAAACGAACATAATCCAAAACGCTGAAGTAGTATTATTTAGTGGCACCTACCCCTCCCAAGACCCACTTAAAGACAACCCATTCTCTACTAATCAACTGAAAAGGGGAAACTCAAAAATAGGGGGGTAACTTGTTTAGCAAAAAGCTTTTAATGCTTAATATCTTAAATATTATTCAAGAACAAAATTTTTTTGGTTTTCCCTGTGCCGGCCGTGGGACAGAAGTCCTCTTTGTCACGTGTTTAGGACCAGACATTTATTTGTTTTTGATTTGATTTAATTTCATTTTTATTTGAGCAAAGCAAAAGTTTTTTGAATGAAAAATTACCAGCCAGCCAGCCAGCCAGCCAGCCAGCCAGCAGCCAGCCAGCCGCCAGCCAGCCAGCCAGCCAGCAGCCAGCCACCTCTTTTCCCCAGCTAGCTACCAGCTAGCAGTAGCTAGCTGGCTGGCTGCCTGGCTGCCTGCCTGCCTGCCTGCCTGCCTGCCTGCCTGCCTGCCTGCCTGGCTGGCTGGCTGGCTGGCTGGCTGGCTGGCTGGCTGGCTGGCTGGCTGGCTGGCTGGCTGGCTGCCTGCCTGCCAGCCAGTTACTTAGTTAGTTAGTTAGTTAGTTAGTTTGTTTGTTTGTTTGTTTGTTTGTTTCTTAGTTTGTTAAATACGTAAATATATGTAAATTACCTAGGATAACCCAAGAAAATAAATTAAAAATGTATCCTTTTTTTCCACATTTCCGCATTTATTAAACTTAATAAGTTAGTAATTAAGTAGTAAGTAAGTAAGTAAGTAAGTAAGTAAGTAAGTAAGTAAGTAAGTAAGTAAGTAACAAAGTAAGTAACGAAGTAACTAAGTAGCAACCAACCAACGAACCAACCAACCAACCAACCAACCAACCAACCAACCAACCAACCCAAAACCAACCAACCAACCAACCAACCAAATAATAGGTTGGTTTTGGGTTTTGGTTGGTTTGGGTTTGGGTTTGGTTTGGTTGTTGGGTTTGGGTTTGGGTGGTTGGTTGTTGGTTGTTGGTGGTAGGTAGGTAGGTAGGTAGTGGGTAGTGTAGGTAGGTAGTAGGAAAGGTAGGTGGGTTTAGGTGGGTGTTCCCAAAAGGTAGCTAGTAGGTAGGTTGGCTACCTACCTACCTACCTACCTACCTACCTACCTACCTACCTACCTACCTACCTACCTACCTACCTACCTAACAACCTAAAACCCTACTACCTAACGACCAACCAGCTAACTAGTAGGCAAGGAAGGGGGATACAGCGGAAATTTATTTTTGTTATTCTGTTATCCATTGTATATGACACTTTGTTCTTTTTTTACTTACTTACTTACTTACTACTTCTTACTTACTTGGTTGGTAGGTAGGTAGGTAGGTAGGTAGGTAGGTAGGTAGGTAGGTAGGTGGGTGTTATTAGTTATTTAGTTAGTTAGTTTAGTTAGTTATTTTGTTTGTTTGTTTCGTTTCTGAGTTTGTTAAGTAGCTAAATAGATGTAAATTACCTAGGATAACCCAAGAAAATAAATTAAAAATATATCCTTTTTTTTCCAACTTTTCCGCATTTATTAACTTAATTTAGTATTAAGTAAGTATTAAGTAAGTA